CCAGAGCTGAAGGTAAATGCTTAACTGACTGAGCCACCCAGGCGCCCCTGATCTCTGCTTGAATATGTGTTTTTTTTTTCCTTCCTGGCTTTCCTACTATATATTTTGTTCTTTTTTTCTAATTTGAGTCAAATGTTTAATTCATTTTTTATTCTTTCTTATTAAATAGTTAAAGCATTTAAAGTTCTAAATTTCCTTCCTTGTACAGCTTGTAGAAATTTCAGATGTTTGGTCTTTGATACTGCATTACCGTTCATCTCTAAATAAGTAAATATGCAGTTTTTATCTTCTCGTATGCTTTCCTTTTTTTACCTTCTAAGAGGTAATCTTCTATGATTAACTTAATTTTTAAATTATACAATCTTTAAAATCATTATTCAAAACATGTGCATATTTACTGTTCTGTTCCCCATAGAACCTTAAGGATTTCCCACCTGTTAGCTAGGTGACTTTGGCCAAGCCTGTGCATTTATTTCTATCTTTTTGAGCATCAGGCACTATTCTAGGAGCTGAGAATACAAGGGTGAACAAGAACAAGTTGCTGTTTTCAAGGACTATATACTTTGGATACAGAAACTAGAAATAAACAGGATGATTTTAGCTAATGACAGTGCTATTCAGAGAGTAAAAAGGAGGTGTGGTAGAGTGATGGGGTGGAGGTGGTTTAGATGGGGTTGTCAGGGAAGATCACTCAGCTGCCACATCCCATGAACTCATCTTGGTCGTTAGCCCAGAAAACCTCTCCTGAGCCATTTGGCATCACTCATCTCTCTTTGTTTTCAACTGTTGCCTTCCTTGGCTTCTGTGATAAGATAGTGGTGCCACTATCTCCTGGTCTCCTCCTGCCTCTCTGACCTCCCCTTTCAGCCTCCATCACATCTTCTCTTGACTACCCACTGAATGAGCCTGTTGGGCAGGATAACCATCTGTCCTGGTAGTTGGAAGAGAGCTCAACTGCTGGCTCCCTCTGCTGAGAGCACTTGCTCACATTCAGACCGTTGGCACAAGGTGACACTGTGGTGGTAGCACAGGCCCAAAAAGCAATGTCTGAGGCAAGGTGTTAAGATGGCTTCCCACAAAGTGGAGACAGAGCTTCTCAATCAGGGCATGGGTCCAGCTGGCTTCCTTACATACAATTCAACACCAAGGACTCTATTTTAAGAAGGGCTAAGCAAAAGAAAGTAAGGAAGGCACTCACCTGGAAAACAAGCATGATTCCTACCCTTACAGAATTTACATGACAGTTCAGATCCGACCCACATGAGAAGACAATGAGAAAACACTGCAAGATGGCAAAGAACAACTCATTAAATTGTGGGAAACAAGGGGGATCCCTGGGTGGCTCAGCGGTTTAACGCCTGCCTTTGGCCCAGGGCACGATCCTGGAGTCCCTGGATCGAGTCCCATGTCGGGCTCCTGGCATGGAGCCTGCTTCTCCCTCCTCCTGTCTCTGCCTCTCTCTCTCTCTCTCTCTCTATCATAAATAAATAAATACATAAATCTTTAAAAAAATAAATTGTGGGAACAGCCTAAAAGTGCCACTGGAGTTCTAAGAAGGAAGCCCCCAGAGTGAATGTACCAGTGAGAGAAGGCACAAGAGCAAGTGGAACCTGAACTAAGCCCTCGGGGATACAGGGTTGGTCACCAAAGGACATGAGAGTCCATGATTGTGCAGTACAACTGGGCTGGATTCCGGATCTAATAGGCACAGTGAGTGATACTAGACACATCCTATAAGCATATGGTCCCACTTCGGACCCTAAGTAGGCTAAGGCGAACAAAAACCCCAACTCTGGGTAAAGGAATGGAACCTTTGTGAAGAGGGTTCAAGATTTTTTTTAAAAGACCTTATTTATTTATTCATGAGACACACACACACACACACACACAGAGAGAGAGAGAGAGAGAGAGAGAAAGGCAGAGACACAGGCAGAGGGAGAAGCAGGCTCCATGCAGGGAGCCCGACGTGGGACTCGATCTCGGGACTCCAGGATCATGTCCTGGGCCGAAAGCAGGCACTAAACTGCTGAGCCATCCAGGGATCCCCCATCTTATAGATTTTTAAAAGAAGTTTGGGAAGTTAAGTGACTTGTGGGTGAATAAACAGCTGGGCCTAAAGGCAAAGTCTTAAATATTCAATCTGGCACTTCCTCTCCAGAGGATAATGTTCCAATGGTCTTGATCCAAACAGGCCTTCTCAGTGCCCCAGGCAAAGCTCCTCACAAAAAGAAATGAGTCCTGACTCAGAAGTTCCACTCCTGGTCACATGCTTGAAAGATCCTTGGACAAACTTGTCTCCAAATCCAGGTAGGGTTAAAACACTGAGATATGGGGGCAGGGAGAGCCAGGAGGCACAATATCAACTGATGAACTGTTTTCTAGGGAACAACTGATCTGTTCCTGAACTGTTCTCAAAATCTATTTGAAACAGAACAACATTGCGGGATTTACTGGGCTTTCATATCATTAAAGCTTTGTTCTCAGAGGTCTCCATTCCTCCCAATCGTCACATGATAAACTTTTCCTTTTACTGGGGCAACTGAAACCCAGAAGAAGTAATCAGTAGTTAAAGGGCATAGACACCATGATTTTAAAATTGGGGGTGTCAAAATGAAAGTTCATACTCTTGCGTCTCAAGCAATAAATATCTGCCCCACTAGCCCCACTAGGGAATACTTCTCCCCAGGCTGCCTCTTAAGGTGTCTGTTACCTGACAAAGCAAAATAAAGGCTTAAGTGGTTTTTTTCTTCCTCTTTGGTGGCATTTAACTAGAGTATGTGAAAGTGATAATCTGAAGAAGCTCAGCCCTGCCCTGACTCCCAGAAAAGCAGTTTTCCCAAAGTCTCTCTGTACCTAGCCCATGGAACTTTGGAAGGTCTGTGCCTCTAAAGTCAACTGGCAACCAGACACTGCCTCTCCCTCCCTACTCAGCCCAGACCAGTAAGCATGGTGATTCTCTGCCTTGGGAGCATAAAGGCTTTCAGGAGCCCACGAATCAGTCTCTTTACTGAGCAGCTGCTATTGTTTCAATAGAAGCTGTTTCCCCATGTTTCATGTTCTGATTCCCTTTTATTCACAATATGGAATGCTTCCCTCCTTTTTCTACAACTCTGGCTCCTTTTCTCTTTCATGGGCCTGCCCCACCCATCTCCCTGCTTCCTTGTGGTCTGGCTTGCTACCACAGCTTTCCCCCAGAGCTTGGTGGGGAAAGAGACACTGAAACCACCCCATGCAGAGTGACTGCAGAGGTGGAAAGAGGGCATTTACACACTGGTTTCCTGCCCCCCAGCAGCCTCTGAGATTTCTGGCACACAGGTGCAGAGGCAGAAAAGATGTGGCCATTTGGTAAAGAGTAAATGACCAATGTGGTTGTGACACATGACATATTCAGTTCACTCCGGTTTGACAAACATTTGCAGAATGTCTCTGAAGTGCAGAAATGGATAAGAGAGCTCACAATTCTTAGGCAAGCTTTTCAACCCTGGCTGCACCCTAGCAGCTTTAGAGACAAGAACGAAAACAAAACCAAAACACTATGAGGGACCCCACTCCAGAGATTCAGAATTCATTGGTGTGGGGTAGAGCATAAGTATTAGTATTTTCTTAAAAGCTCCCCAGGCATTTCAATGTGGAGCCAGGGGCTGGAGCATTATATGATCATATGCAGAAAGTTCTGAATAAAGGCTAAATTTAGGTTTTAGGCAATGCAAAGCTATTGCAGGTTTTGAAGCAAAAGAGGAAACATGAGGATGGCTATAATTTAGGAAGCTTCTCCTGACTGTACTAGGCAGAACAGACTGGAGTCAAGAAATACTAAAAAGAGAGAGAGTAAGAGAGAGAGGAGACTGGGGAAAAGCCTATTATTGCACTAGTCCAAGTAAGGAGAAATAAAGCCCTAAACCAAGCAATAGCCCTAAGCATGGAAAGAAAGGACCAGACTGGGGCAATTACAGGACTACTGAGGCAAGGCATGACAGTCCAGGTTGCCTCTGGGGCCACAGTGGGGAAAGGAAGGCAGTAACAGGAGGGGCACTCTTCCTCTCCCCAGACTTCCTTGGCCCCACATTCCCACCTACACTAGAACTGCAGAAGAGGGCAGTGGTTTAGCGCCACCTTCAGCCCAGGGCTTGATCCTGGAGACACAGGATCGAGTCCCACGTCGGGCTACCTGCATGGAGCCTGCTTCTCTCTCTCTCTCTCTCTCTCTTCTCTCTCTCTCTCTGTGTGTGTGTGTGTGTGTCTGTCATGAATAAATAAATAAAATCTTTAAAATAAAAAAAAAAAAGAACTGCAGAAGAATTTCCAATACCTTGGGAGTTAAGAACCTAAGAGGAGAAGAATATAAAGACTTGGTTCTTCCAAGGGAAAAGTTCAAGGACACTAACCTGAGTGATAACATAGTATATTCAAGGACACAAAACTTTAAAATGAAGCGAAACTTCGTACATTTGCAGACTTTCTCACAGAATTGTGAAATAAAAAGAACCCACTCTTCTACACAAGGTATTTATTCTCCTGCCCTCACCTGCGGGCACAAACAATACCATTATTTCTAGGTTGCCTTAGAACACTAGGTGCAGCTCATAGAAGGAAATCTATAGAACCAATTGCAGCTTCAAATACCTTCCTAGATGGTGCCAGAGTAAGAAAAACAGAGTCAACATATTAACATTGGCAGGGTGGGGTGTCAAGGGAATGGAATCACTCATTTGGAGTGTAACCTGGCACTCCAAATAAAGGCTCTATTATCATTAGCTGAAAGCTTTTAGGGCATAAGAAGGAAGTGAACAGGATGACCCACTTGAGACAACACCAAAAGAACACAACTTCACAGCCCTGGAAGATGGCAACAGCCAGACAAAAGATGAGCAGTTAACAGTGAATTGGGACACACCTTCAGTGTCAGCCCAGCTCAAATTCCCCATACAACCACACTTCTTCGTTAGCCTGTTTAGACAATACTTGATCAAACATATCACTCTAGAGCATACACACATAAAATATGTTAATTGTTATTTTATTGTAGAGGAAAAAATATCCTGTAATATTTGTTAAATAACAATACTTCCTGACAAAAATCATTCTTCAGGGTTTTTGAGCCTCACCATCTCGTCAGACATAGTGAGCCATCCCTCACCCTTGTAATAAGCTTCATTAATATTGGCATAAACCACAGGAAAACCCAAAGATTTTCTAAATGGCTTCCCAATTTCTACATAGATGCCCTTAATAATTCCAAAGGTAAACAACAAACATATTGGTGGAGAAATTAGGATAGATTAGAGGGGAAAAAAATATTAACACAACTGGTGAATCAAGAACAAAGGGCATAGATAAGTATTCATTATACCATTCTTTCAACTTAATTTTTTCATTACAGATAAACTGAAGAGTTGTCTTAGCATTATCATGCCATTTTCCACACTTGCCTAAAAAGTACAGCCAATTATTTCTTTTTAAACCAGAAACAGAAAAATTAGTTCTCCCCCAGGTTATACTCACTTTCAATTCTGTCTAAAAAAGCTTCCAGAGTTTTCTGGAAAGTTTAAATTAAGAGGCTACAGTACACTGATATGGTTTTATAGTTCTTGGGAGGTGTTTGAGTCAAATTTTCATCGAAGGTCTGTGATGGTCACTGCTCTATCCACAACAGTCACGTGGCTGCAGCTCTACAACAGGCAAAAAGAAAGAAAGGGAAAGTCCTGGCAAATTCTAAGAAGTCACTTTTTAAAAGTTCTTATTTAACATGCTGATTCTGGCTAATGGTTTCCAGTCTGGAAGCCAGATCACTAGTTACATGGCAGTTACGGTGAGGAGCCTGGGATTCAGTGACTCCCCAATCCTAATCCGTAGGCCTCAATCAATGTGGGCCCACATACCTTCATTGGCTTTTCAACTGGTTGTATATTCTACAGTCATTCATAAAATATATATTTATTTGAAAGAACTGCTGAATTCATTAGTTTTGGGGGCTCACTATGTCAACCAGTTAATACAGTGCACCCACTGTCACATGGGGAATGCTCACTTTTGGCTTGCAAAAGGGGTCTTTATAACTGAAAAACTGAAAATGTGGTCACTTTTTTCCAGCCTGTTTCAACATCCTAGTACCTAGATATTTATTACATTCCAAGGCAGACTGACCTATTTATGAACAGATCTGTCAGAAAGTTCATTCTTATATTCAGCTAAAAGCTCTTTCCTTGAGGACTTAGTTTAGTTCTGGGAATCTTATGAAATCCACTCAATACCTTTTCATACAATACTTCTAACTTAAAGTTGGTTTTCAGATACTCCCTGAGGTTTTCCTTCTAAGCATCCCAGTTCCTTTCATGTGACAGGGTTCTGAGTCCCTTTTCCATACTGGTCACTTTTTAGTGAACCCAAAAGAAATAACACTCCATGGCTAGCAAGGAGTGAAGCAACCTATCACATTAGATTTGAGGGGCAAATTGAAACATACCGATCTTATCAACAACTGAAATTTTTTATTCACAGAATACAAGTTAGGGAAAAAAAACAGAAAACAAAAAAAAAAACTTCCTCAGAAGGTCAGAAAAAGAAATCCCTATTATTTAAGCAAAATTTCAGAAGCAAATATATCTTACCTATCTTAAGTGGCTTTTCCCCTTTGAATCCAAATCTCTTATTAAAGTATAGGCTTAGCTATAACTAACTAACCAACTAAAACTAATATTTAATAAGCAAGCTACTGTACCAGGTACTTTCTGTGTATTCCTTCAATTATGCCTCTCATTAACCCTATAAAGTAGGTGTTATCATCATTATCATCTCCCTTTACAGATGAGTAGGCTGAGGCCCAGGAAGATGAAGTCTAGTCAGACAGTCCTTAAATGGCAGAGCTACAACTCAAATCCATTCCTATCCCACACCACTTCCTACATGCATCCTTTTTAGGAAGACTTGAAAAGATGAGTGACAAGGCTGATCTTCTATGTGGGTCAGATAGGATAATGCACCTCATCAGCTCAGACTGTCCTCTCTGCTTGAATGAAGCACAGCCCCAATTTCTCCTATTTAGATACATACACAGAAGAGAGGTGGATCCTTGCTGTGTGGATGAAATCCTTTCTGGCGACAGGAAGAAATCTCTTCTAGTCCATGGTCAGTTAATTTAAAGAATCCAGTTCTGCAATAAGAAAAAGCAGGCCCAGAATCATGCAAAGGTGCTTCCCCAGTCTGAAACACATGCGCATACACAGAGTTCATTTTGAGACAGCTTCAAAAGTATGCTGGCACATAGGTCTCTTCTCTGGTGAATGAATCAGAGTTAGAGAATGACTCATCACTGCCACCACACTAGTTTTGCTGGGAGAATTCATAGTAAATAACAAGATTTAGAATGAAAAAGTTTAACTGAGATAATCTGTTTGATTTTGAAATTCTTTACTCTGACATCAGTCTCTTAAAATTCCTATTGCTTCAAGTCAAACACTTCAATTTTATGTCCTTTTCTCCTAAAAGCAACAAAAGATTGCTTTGATGCCTTTTTTATTTTTTATTTATTTTTTTTTGATGCCTTTTTTAAACAAGCATAGTAGGTGTATCAGGATATGGTGCTGAAAAGGTAACCTTTTAAAACAGCCAATTAATCCCACAATCTAGATATTTTAGAGAAAACAAGGTCTTCTAAATAGAGACCTCTTCCTTGCAGGCTTTTCCCCACTATCTCCCTGTAATGCCCTTCAGGGCATCTATGTACTTACTCCTGGAACTTGGGGGAGCAAACAATGGCTATTGATTCCGGCAACATCATCTGGTAGGAGCAATGAGTGTGTAGATCAACACTGGAGAGGAAGGCAGTCTGTGTGGGATGAGTCTGAGAAGAGAAAAAAAGGATCTGAGACTCCTGTCAGTGAGACAGCCGAGCCTGGCCCAAGAAGAAGACAGAGCAAAAGAGTTCTAAACAGCTGACCACGACCTCCTTCTCAAGTACAAAGCCACTGGCAGTCATAAGGACGTATGCCTAAAATTTACTACTTTTGAGCATTATAAATAAAGTATAGCTTAACAGGGGTATGTGAAGAAATTCAAAATTTGTAATTGACTGTCAAGACTTATCTGGCCCCTCATATGCTCTCTCTCTGAAACAGAGAGTTATCCATTCTGGAATAGATGGTAGATGCAGTCCGATACTTCAATGTGGTAGAAGTCAAGGACTTAACAAACCACAGTTGGGTGAAGGATTCTTCTTCCTGATGGAGGTGTTAAAAGGTCAAGCATGAATGTGCAGCTCTACAGGCAAAAATGTCAAATGCTAACCTATGGCTAAAGTATACCATCCAAGGATGTGAGAAGCAGGGGCCATCAGGATTTCAGTGGTAGTTAAATCACACAAAAGACCCTATCTTGTTTGGGAAAAGGAACAAGATATTGAAATTTGAGGGTAATCTGTTATAGCACCATCAAAGTTTTATTGAGCACATTGTTTATACACCAATGAGCAACTACATAATGCCTTATGTTCATCTTAGAGGGGTGTGAGTGTAGATAACAAGAATAGGAAAAGAAAGCCCCAACAGGACTCAAAAAGACCACCAACCTTTACTGAAAGAACACCCAGAAAACAAATAAATATACCTGATCAGCATTCTCAAACTTGCTGTGTACAAAATGAAGCTCCCGAGGAGCCTGTCAAAAGCATAGGCTCCTATGCCCTACCTTTAGAAATATCCATCCTGAAACTTTTTCTTTTTTAAAGCTCATTCATGGGTGCCTAGGTGGCTCAATCAGTTAAGCTTCCAACTCTCAATTTTGGCTCAGGTCGTGATCTCAGGGTGGTGAGATGGAGCCCCATGGAGCCTGCTTGAGATTCTCACTCTTTGCCCCTCTCCCTGCCTCTAATTAATAAACAAGCAAACAAACAAGTAAATATTTCAATGATTCTTATGTGCAGCCTCATCTGAGAAGCATCACTCTACAGAATGCTATGGCCGGCTCACTGTGGAAGAGGCCTGCAGGCCAGGAACATTGTAACAGAGTGCTGACAGCAAATACACACACAGGTCCTCATGGGGGCAGGTATGAACTTTGGTGACCACAAGGAAAAAATACTATTTAACAAATTATATGATCCTACAGACTATTAGGGACAAATGGTCTGTGCCAACACCTTTCAGCCTGTGGTCAGAAGAAGGAATTTTAACTGGGGATGAATTTTAACTGGGGATGAACGAGGCCTACATAAGCCGATCTAGGCCTCTGATCTAAAGTTGGGATAGCTAGAAAGATAAACTAGAGACACACAGCAGAAGCTCAATAAATCATTGTTCAACTAAATCAAAAAACCTTGTCTTAAGCCTGTCTTCTCTTCTATTGTGCTTTTTCTCCTTCCCTTCACAATTGAATTTCTTGAAAAAATAGTTGTGTCCCTCCTGCCGGAGACAGAGGGAGGCATTTTTATGAAGAAAAAATGATAAACCAAAGGAGCATAAATGAACACGGAGACCAAATGCCAGGGGCTGCCTTGGCGCCTGGCCGGGAGGGAGCAGCCTGGGACAGTGGTACGAGCTAAGGCAGGGCTGAGCCCAGCTGGAAGGCTGCTGTGAAATCTTGGGCTGGGGGGCCACCTGGTAGGGGGGAGCAATACATGACCACATAAACTTTTTGATCAGCCAAACTGATTTATAGCTGGCAGAGTACAGAAGGAAGAACTGATCTTTTGCATCATCCTCTTGTCAATTTTAGGATCTGAGCAAATCTCTGCTTACTTCTGTTTTTAACCCCCAGTTAGGAAGTAATGGTACAGAAATATCATAGGGGGGGAAAGCTGAAATACTATCAACTTCAGCCCTAAATTTATTCCTAGCTTGACCCTCACTCATTTAGAAATTCTTTTATTCATTTGTGGCTGAATTCTACCTGTAGTCTAAATAGTAATTATTCCAAAGTTCCCTAAAATCACCTGTCTCCCCTCCACCCAGGCAGTGGATCTAGACTGCAACCCTGTTGAATCAAATGAATTCCTCCAAAGAGAATCTCCAAAATCTCTCTGTATCTCTTTCTTCAATTCTATCTCAGAAAGATGAGTGTTTTCTCCTCTATATGGAGATGAGCCCCCTTTTTGTACTTTTGGTTTAATACTTTCCTACCTCCACATTATTTTATCTCTGTCCCTTTACATCTCCTCTCCTGGCTCCACTACGTTCCACTGAGCTCCACTGGCTCACTGGCCATACAAAAACATTCAGACAACTACATACAAGAATGTAGATAAACCTTAAAAATGTTGAGCAAAAGAAGCCAGGCACAGAAGAATACATATCATTCTATTTACATAACATTCATAATCAGGCAAAACTAAATCATTGAGGTCATGGCTATATATTTAGGTAGTAAAACTGTTAAGAAAGCAAAGGATTTCCAGAAAAGTCAGGAGAGAAATTTCCCATATCAGAGGAAAAGTGTGACAGGGCAGGACCAGGGGGATGGGAGCATGCCTCTCAAAATGTTTTATTTCTCGATGTGGGTCATGCATGTACATAGATGTTTGGTTCATGATTCGCTGAAGTATACATTTATCTTCATGTACTTCTTACATGTTATATTTCAAATATAAAGGTTTCAAAAAAACCAAAATCAAAACAAAACACATGTTCATGCCTTTCACACTAAACCATAGATCAATAAATATTCTCAACCTGGCTACTCCTTAAACCACCATCCCATTTTTTTTCCTTTCCCCATGAACTAAATTCTTAAAAAAAAAAATAAGAGTACATTTCTCTATCAACCTCAATCCCCATTACTTCTTTTTTTTTTTTTTAAAGATTTTATTTATTTATTCATGAGAGACACACAGAGAGAAAGAGGGAGAAGCAGGCTCCCTGCAGGGAGCCCCATGTGGAACTCGATCGCAAGATCGCAAGACCCTGGGATCACACCTGAGCCAAAGGCAGACACTCAACCACTGAGTCACCCAGGTGCCCTCCTCATTACTTCTTAAACCAGTGTTCCTCCTCCTCTGGCTTCTGTGCCTGAACACTGCCCTCACCCTGCTCTTACACCTCTTTGCTTCATTATCACCTACTCCCTATGCTCCCCTGGGCAGCCTGCACCCAAGCTACTGGTGACTCTCTTCTTGCTCTTCATCCTCCTCCAGTTCCAAGGCTTTCCAGGTCAGCAATATGGGGCGGTCTCCCAGATCCCTCTCCCATCCTGACCTTGCTCCCAAGTCCCAGCCACATTTTCAGCTGCCTGATAACTACCTCCACCGGCAGAATGTCTCACACGTACTTTAAGTACAACATGCTAAAAACTGTACCTACAATTTGCCCCACTTCTGAAGTAAGTTATCCCCCTTGGAGCCCCTGTTGCTGCTTGTGGGATGATCACTGCCACCCCCATGAGTCAAGCCTGCTCCCTAAGTCACCACTGACTTTTACTCATCTTCCTCTTACTCACTTCCTTCCCAAATGCAATGCCATGACTCTAACTCTCATCATTAGTTTCTATCACCACACTCTTAAATGATCTCCTTACTTCAACCTACTTTAAACTGCCTTTATTTTAGATATTCAAAAGAATGGCTTTGATCACATCATTGCTCTATTCAAAAACCTTCTTCTATTCTGCTTATCCACCCAAGACCCTCCAGAACATTGCTTCAGGGTATCACATTGAAGCTTATCAACTACGGGTTCCTGATATGAACCATGGACCCTGGCAGACTAGACTTCTCAATGTCTCAGGAACACAGTATTCTTTTTTTTCTTTTTTTTTTTTTTTAATTTATTTATGATAGTCACAGAGAGAGAGAGAGAGAGAGGCGCAGAGACACAGGCAGAGGGAGAAGCAGGCTCCATGCACTGGGAGCCCGATGTGGGATTCGATCCCAAGTCTCCGGGAAAGCGCCCTGGGCCAAAGGCAGGCGCCAAACCGCTGTGCCACCCAGGGATCCCAGGAACACAGTATTCTTATTCCAATGTTGCCCCCTGCATATGAAACTCTCCCTTAGCCTATCTTGTCAAGATTCTACTACATCAAGCCAGGTAGAGTCTTTCCCTCCTCTGAATTCCATAGTGCTGTTTGTATCTCTTGAAGCACTGGCACATCCTGCCTCATGTGAACAGTGATTACTCGTCTCTGTTTAATCTCCTTTATGAGACCAAAACTGCATCTTACTCAAATTTGTATCCTGCAGCAGATAAGAAACAAGTTCTCTTTCTTCCACATACTATCACAGGGGATACCCCATAGAAGGCAAATGTTTAGGTCATGGAATGCACACAGTACAGAGGTGTGTGGGACTGCCTCCTGGGTCATTATTTCCTGAGTATCGCAGACAAGTATGTGTAATCTCCCCCCAAAAAAGCAGACTTGTTTGTGTGCAAGCCTATTGCACAACATGAAAAGTACCTTGGTCTATGGAGTGAGGAGTTGAAAATGAATAGAAAGAAAAATGCAGAAATGCTCTTTAGGGATGAAATTATATTTTACCTAAATATCACCAGAAGGTTGCATACAGTAAGTAGACACTTGAAAATCGGCCATATTGGTGACCCTACTGATTTACATAAAGGTATATGCTGCTTTAACAATGACCAAATACAAGCATCTGAATTAACTTCCTTGGCTCATTAAAATATTTTGATTTATGTACCTTTTAGGAATATCATTTGCATGAAGTAGGTAGAGCCTATACAGTCAATATCCATGTATACTCCAAGGCCAGCGTCCTACCACCATTCACACTCACAGGGAAACTGGGACTTTATGGAAACAAGTTCATCTTCATTAAAACATTTTTTATTTTTTTAATTTTTTTTTAATTTTTATTTATTTATGATAGTCACAGAGAGAGAGGCAGAGACAAAGGCAGAGGGAGAAGCAGGCTCCATGCACCGGGAGCCCGATGTGGGATTCGATCCCGGGTCTCCAGGATCGCACCCTGGGCCAAAGGCAGGCGCCAAACCGCTGCGCCACCCAGGGATCCCAAAACATTTTTTAAAATTCAAAAAATTAGGGGTGCCTGGGTGGCTCAGTTGGTTTAGCGTCTGCCTTCAGCCAGGTCATGATTCCGGGGTCATAGGATCAAACCCTGCGTCTGCCTCCCTGCTCAGCAGGAAGTCTGCTTCTCCCTCTCTCACGCATGCTCTCTCTCCTGAATAAATAAATAAAATCTTTTAAAAACTAAAATAAGGGATCCCTGGGTGGCTCAGCAGTTTGGCGCCTGCCTTTGGCCTAGGTCATGATCCTGGAGTCCCGGGATCAAGTCCTGCGTCGGGCTTCCTGCGTCGGGCTCCCTGCGTGGAGCCTGCTTCTCCCTTTGCCTGTGTCTCTGCCTCTCTCTCTCTCTCTGTGTGTCTCTCATGAATAAATAAATTAAAAATTAAAATAAATAAATAAATAAATAAAAACTAAAATAAAACTAAGAAAATTAAAAAGCCTTAAGTAGTTCCCAGAAATCAGTACTATAGTGGACACAGTCAAGTATGCTAGGAAAGTTAAGTGTGTATCCAACAGAAGGAAAGACAATCACCTAAATAATCTGGACACAGTTCACTTTGTTCTAAGAAAGAAATAAGCAGTTTATAACATGGGGAGAGAGAAGGAGACTAGTCCTCGGAGAGCTGGGTATTGCTTACATGGATCCAGCCCAGTGTGATAAGACCCTGTTGATCCTGTATGAGGAAGAGCTCTTCTTCATTCTCAGTGTGGCAATAATCAGACCCCGCACTCTGCTTGGGGATGAGAACATGGGTAATGGTAAATTCATTCTTCATCTGTCAAAAGGAGAAAACAGCTAGCTTGTCACCACTCCCTGGCACCAGTGCAACCCCACTCTGTCACAGCAGCAGCAAGGTAAACATCTACATAAGCGAAAGCCCTTCCTGTACCAGAATGAGTCCTTGGTTTCCTTGAGTCCCTCACCTCAGTGGTTCCCAACCTTGGCTGCCCATGTGCACTGCAGCGGGCACTCTGCAAAGCCACAGGCACCCATACCCTGTGGGAATTCCTGGCTGCAGCCAAATGGGACTACTTGTGAGTCCCAAGAAGCTCCAGGATAGTACCATTTCTCTTCCTTTGCACACATCTAAGATAATTTCCCTCTTACTGCTTCTCTTAGCCCTTCTCATCCTCCAAGCCTGTTTCAGTCTATTCTGTTTCACTCATTTCCGCATTCAGCAGTTAGTAATGGGGTCTTCCTAGTGCCTCTATCCAATGACTTTCCTTCCTCTGAATTCCTAGTGCTCTACCGCATATACCATTCAGCATGCTACTTATCTTTGGGGATGTATCTCCCATCTCTTCAAAATGCTTAGGTACATCTTGTGGACACATGCTGTGTGCCTTACATATCATATATTCCCAGGCCTACCATAAAGCAGGTACTCAAAAACTGACATATAGGTAATGCTAGCTCTTCCTACCAAGTTTAGAATTACCTCTTTCTTACTAGTAGCATTAAAATAATCTGTTCAATTCAAGGGACCGTGAGTATCAATGAAATGCAAGGTCACCAAACTCAAAGTAACACTGCATTATGCTATCCCCAGTTCCTTCTGCAGAGGGATCATTGAATACAGTAACTGATCCCTGGATATCTTCTCTGAGGCTCACAGGAGGCCAAGGGGGAAGTAATAGTCTAAGCTCAGGAAAATGTTTGGTTTTTACCAGTTTTCCACAGAGAATTCCACATGTCTCCACTCCTCGGGCTGTGTTGGCACTGGCTAGCTGGAGAAACTGTGGACAGAGCCTTTCAGGTACCACCACATGGCGCAGTCCATCGATTGTAGGAGCTGTAAAGGAGAAGGGAAAGAAGTATGGGACCATGGGGAGAGCATTCCCAAGTGGACCCCTCAGCTGGCAGTCCTGGGAGAGCAATGCCAAACCACTGGGGTTCCCCGGACTGGGAACAGGAAGTGGGGATCTTACCCTGATGGATGAGAAGGAGGCTGTGGCCATAGCCACTGCAAGTACATTACTTTAAGAAAAGAGGCTTTAACCATTCAAGTTAAGACAAGGGTAAATTACTACTTAAAACAAGTTCCTGAGCTATTCAGAAATTCTGTCACAATCTAATACAAAGGATAATAAATAAATAAATAACCTCCTCATTCTTTTTCTTTTTTTTAAAGATTTCATTTATTCATGAGAGACAGAGAGAGAGAGGCAGAGACATAGGCAGAGGGAGATGCAGGCTCGCCTGATGTGACACTCGATTCCTCGACTCCGGGATCACACCCCGAGCTGAAGGCAGTCGCTCTACCACTGAGCCACCCAGGCATCCCAACCTCTTCAACTGAGCTTTTACTTTCATTTTAAATCTATCTCAGATAAGAATACTGGAGACTAGGACTTGCACAGAAATACACCAGGTATATTCTGTGTAATAGAAAATACTTTGGGTAACTAATTCTGAAGAAGATGTTAAAATGCCAAAACAAAACAATAACAAACAACACATTCTGGTCCTCAAAAGAGGAATGAATGCACAGAGAAACTTATAAACCTGGTTTAGAATGCCAAGAATGAGCCCCACCCTGGATACCAGAGAGAACACTGTGAGAGAGACCACAGGCTCAAGTTAGGGGGTGTCTTTCATGGTTACATTTTCATTTAAAAAGAAAAAGAATATTGTTTTTCAGATGTTCAAGAGCAAGCTCTGGATTGCTGAGGAGGTAATAGATCAAGGAGCAGGCAGTCACATGGCATCTGATGATAGTATCTGAGGACTCAGAACGAAGGCTCAGCACAGTCCTTTCCTTGCAATTCTGCAATCACTCACCGAGTGCACACCAGTGGGTACACTGTGCTCAGCCCACCGTGAACACAAATACAAGTAAGATTCAAGCCCTAACCAGTACAAAGTTAAAATCTAGTTATCGGCAAATAACACTACCAGGTAGATGATCTCAACTGCATTACAGATACTAAGAGCTCTGGGAGTCTTGAGGAGAACAGAAGCAATCTGAATGAAGGGAAGGGAATATGGTAAAACTTTAAGGAAAGCAGGTAAGGCAGAGACAGAGAAAGGAGATTATAGGTTCAGGGCAAATGCTAACAAACCTCCTTGGATAAGATAGCCCAGAGGCTGCTCTGGAAACATGACAGCCCAATCAGACCAGAGCACAAAATGTGGATGAAGGAATGGCAGTGGGAGACAAGTTGGCTGAGTACATGAGGCAAAATCCTAAAGGGCAGGCTTTGGAGTCTGGCACCCCCTGCCCACTCTTGTGTTGTCCTTGTAAGTGGATCTTCTGCAAAGCTGACTTCCCTAAATGCTACTTGAAAGCCAGTTCCTTCCCAAAATGATCTATTCTACTAATCAAGGTACATGCATCATTTTGCTGCTACTGTTACCGTCTCAGGTGATCAGTGGTGAGAGGAGGAAAGACTGCCGACAGTTTTTATGGCTAGACTGAATCATCACCAACTACATATGATATTTACCTTGACTAAGCTCCTTAAGGATTAGGAACAATTTTAAAACAAGCATAATTTGGGATGCCTGGGTGGCTCAGTGGTTGAGTGACTGCCTTCGGCCTAGGGCGTGATCCTGGAGTCCCAGGATCGAGTCCTGCATTGGGTTCTCTGCATGGAGTCTGCTTCTCCTCCCTCTTCCTGTGTCTCTGCCTCTCTCTCTGTGTCTCTCATGAATAAATAAATAAAATCTTAAACAAATAAATAAATGTCAACTGTTGAATTGTAAAGTGGTACTACAAATTTCAGATTTCCCTTCCAGAGGGCCAACAGTGGTCTCTAGTTCACTGAACATTTTGAATCTCTGTAAAATCCTTAAAAGTTGAGGGTCTGACTTTCAAGGATATCATGAGCTCTTCAGATAATCGACCTGTGCCAGGTAAATTATATGACTGAAGCAAAGGCCACTTTCATACAGTAGCCAGTGTGACAGGACACCGCACAGCAATACCGACCAAAGGGGCTTCTGTGGGATCCCTGGGTGGCGCAGCGGTCTGTCGCCTGCCTTTGGCCCGGGGCGCGATCCTGGAGACCCAGGATCGAATCCCACATCGGGCTCCCGGTACATGGAGCCTGCTTCTCCCTCTGCCTATGTCTCTGCGCCTCTTTCTCTCTCTCTCTCTCTGTGACTATCATAAATAAATAAAAAAATTTAAAAAAAAAATGGGGGGGGGCTTCTGTGACCAGGGCCTAATTGGTGGGATCATGGAGGTAATCTTAGATTGAAACCCCCAGAACGACACTTTGCCTGGCTGAACCCTAGGTGGAAGAGGACCTGAGCGAGTGGACTCACTACTTTCTGAGTTGCTCAATGCTCCAGGTTTTAAGGACCTGTCTACCACAGGTGGCTTGGCAGGCCTTACAGCTGTATTACAGTCCGCAGGCTGTGCAGATGCGACAGGTGCTGGGGGGAATATGTCTGGGGAGGGCTTCTCCAAGTCCGGCACCAGAGGCCCGCCTAGGCCAGGGTCCACCTTCCCAAACTCTTGCACGATTTTCAGCCGCTCCTTTTCCAGTTCCTGGTTCCGGATCATCTCCTCAAAGGCATGGAACTGCTCCTGTTCCAACTGCTGCTGTTTCTGCTGCGCCACCCTCTGCCGTTCCTTCTCCAGCTCCTGCTGGATGGCCACATTCCGGGCGAGTTCTTCCGCTTCCCTCTTCTACAAAGAAGGAAGAGCAGTTAGACTTACACATGATGCTCAGGTGATGTCACACCTCAGGAGGACAAGGCTTTGCAGCACAGTGATTTCCTAAAATGTACACCTGCTCTGGCCCAATTTCCCAACACGGAATTCACGTTGCCCTAGGCAGTTCCAAGGAATGGTCACCACTTGGGTCTAGCTGGCCACTGCAGACCTAGTCTTCAATTCCCACAGATCTCTCCCCAATAGCTCTTACTGATGCATTTTCTTCTTTACCGAAATCCTGATGCAATTTACTATCTACACCTCATGATCTGCATCCTACAGTTTTATTCTCTAAAGGTGCTATGTACACATTCCCTCTCCCAAGTAAGTCCACAAAACAGAACCAAATCCAAACTTGTACCTGTTGTATTGGGGGTCTCTATTGAATTTTAACCCAAAAGGAAGCCTCTGAAATTTTCCTTGTGATTAGTTCAATAAGAGAATGATATTTTAAACTAACAAGAAATATCAAGTAATAATCTCCTTCAATAAGGTTTTCACACACTCAGTTCCTTAGAAAGATATGCATCACTGCATATCTGTTTACCTCTCTGCTGATTTGCAATGTTAGAGTCCAGAATAGGACTCAGCAGAGCACTACAGAATAAGGTGGAAGGGCTAGCAGCATACATTCACATCTGACACAGACTACAGACAGTGCTTTGGGAGTTTCTCCACAGGCTCTAACTAACTCTTCTAACAAGAATCAATTGAAAATAGATTGAAAAACAATCAGTTATTATTAACAGGTATAACCAAATGTGAATCAACACCTCCAAGTTCACTGATCTAAATCCTCAGCCTAAAAAGAAACAAAAGCAAAAATGAACTATTGGGACTTCATCAAGATAAGAAGCTTTTACACAGCAAAAGATACAGTCAACAAAACTAAAAGACAACCTACAGAATGGGAGAAGATATTTGTAAATGACGTATCAGATAAAGGGCTAGTTTCCAAAATCTATAAAGAACTTCTTAAACTCAACACCAAAGAAACAAACAATCCAATCATGAAATGGGCAAAAGACATGGACAGAAATCCTCACAGAGGAAGACATAGATATGGCCAACATGCACATGAGAAAATGCTCTGCATCACCTGCCATCAGGGAAATACAGATCAAAACCACAATGAGATACCACCTCACACCAGTGAGAATGGGGAAAATTAACAAGGCAGGAAACCACAAATGTTGGAGAGGATGCGGAGAAAAGGGAACCCTCTTACACTGTTGGTGGGAATGTGAACTGGTGCAGCCACTCTGGAAAACTGTGTGGAGGTTCCTCAAAGAGTTAAAAACAGATCTGCCCTACGACCCAGCAATTGCACTGTTGGGGATTTACCCCAAAGATTCAGATGCAATGAAATGCCGGGACACCTGCACCCCAATGTTTCTAGCAGCAATGTCCACAATAGCCAAACTGTGGAAGGAGCCTCGGTGTCCATCGAAAGATGAATGGATAAAGAAGATGTGGTTTATGTATACAATGGAATATTACTCAGCCATTAGAAACGACAAATACCCACCATTTGCTTCAACGTGGATGGAACTGGAGGGTATTATGCTGAGTGAAGTAAGTCAATCAGAGAAGGACAAACAGTGTATGTTCTCATTCATTTGGGGAATATAATAGTGAAAGGGAATATAGGGGAAGGGAGAAGAAATGTGTGGGAAATATCAGAAAGGGAGACAAAACATAAAGACTCCTAACTCTGGGAAATGAACTAGGGGTGGTGGAAGGGGAGGAGGGTGGGGGGTGGGGGTGAATGGGTGACGGGCACTGAGGGGGACACGTGACAGGATGAGCACTGGGTGTTATTCTGTATGTTGGTAAATTGAACACCAATAAAAAATTAATTTATTAAAAAAAAAAGAGAGAGAATCCTCAGCCTAAACACTTGTGTTCTATTCTTTTGAGTTTCTGGCCTTTGCTGAAAGAAGTAAAATATGCCACTAAAAGCACAGGATCTGCTAAAAAAAATCATATTACAATGCTAGGGCATACCCTAAAAAAACAAAATAATTTCCTTCCTTTTGGTGTTATCTACTTACCTTTTCTTCATTATATTCTATATATTCTTTGGTATATCGTTTTAATAGCTCTTCCTTCAGCTCTTCTGCTTTGGGAAATGCAATTTCCTTTAACTTCTGAGACACAAAAATAGAAAACTGAGAATGAGGATAATTCCCAGCTAATTAAGTAGAGAAGTAAAAAGTATAATTAAGTCAATTTGGCAATGGTAACAATGTTTCTAAAAACAATGTAAAGTACCCCCTACTGTACAATACCTGCTACTTCATAACTGATCTAGTGAAATGGCCTTATCTCCCATTGCAGGATTTGATGCTCAGATGCGGACACAACTACTTTTACCTTGAAGTGAGTCTGTGCTGCTTTGAAGCTTTTCGATGGGCAACAGTGAAAGTGAAGACCCACCTTTACTGTGTCTTTCTTCTCAGGAATGACAGCCGATTTGTAATCTCGATGCTTTGGGAGCTTCTCAATAAAGAGCCTAAAGAACAGATCAAAATTATTATCATGAAAAATATCCAAACGTCCAACAGACTCTGAAGCAAAGCAATTGCCTTGTTCTGCAGCCACTGTTGAGATGGGTTTCCAGACATGCCAGGGAGGGGTCACACACATTGGCCATGTTCCCCACCCACCTTTAACCCTACGTTCCCCTCCTTTCCCAAACCTGGTGTGCAGGAAGCACTAAACTCCCACAACTAAAAAGATAAGAGGGGGAAAAAAAGCAAACCTACCCTGTGCCCAAAAATATACCTCTAAAGAGATTATTTTTCTTGTTATGACAGTGACAGGTTTCCAAAGGAAAGGGCCTCTGTCACAAATTCTTCTTCAAATAAGTTTGGCAACCAAGGGTAGGGGGCTGAGAAAACCCATGTTTTATGACTACCCTAGCCCCGTGATCTTAACTTTTGCTTCTTTTTCTTTGGGATTCGTGTTCCTTCAAAGCAGGATATTCTCTGCATCATATTAAGCACTGAGATGCTTACACAGTACATGTGTTGTAGGCATGTAATACGTGGATATTACATATGTGATGTGCCTTACGGTCCTGATGAAAAGTTCTTAGAGAAACTAAGTGCTAGATTTTCTCTTTCAGTTTTGTCTGTGGCTGTAAAGCTCAATGAGAAAAATAAACCAAATCAACTCACAGATCTCTAATATTTATGACATCTACTTGGGAAGAGTGAAAACAAACAGGAGTTCAGTAACTTGTCACAGCCCAAAGTGGCAGATTCAGTTGGCCAGTTTCAGAGTCTATTCTTCTAATCACTATATCACTCTTCCTCTACAGGGCTCCTGGAATGCCTAGAACTGTTGGAGGGGTACTGAACAAAGATGTCTTTTAATAGAATAAGTTGTAATAAATATAAACTGAGACCCAAAACAAATCAATTGAGGGGAGTTTGCCCACAGCTCTAAAATACCATACCGTAGTTGGGGACTAACTGACTCCCAATTTCTGCCATGGGTAGGAGTAAACGGAGGAGGAAGCCTTAGTAAGGAAAAGAAGCCGACCCCACATGAAAGCAAACTCTTTTTAGATGAGGCTTCCTCTCTTGGTTCTATATTAGGCACATGAAATTTTCATTTCAATCCAATCTGACAAGACCCTTCAGGCAGAGATGAATTCTAAAATAAAAATGATTCTAAAACTCTTCCCTTTGGGTTCATGAAAAAGATATAAAACAGTTTCCTTAAAGTCTGTATTTAGAATAAATACAGATTCATTTGTTCACCCATAAAGTCCTGAAAAAGATATTAAGATAAGTAAGACTAGTTAATATGTGCAAGAGACCTATAATTCAGTAACTCTGTCTGGCCCTACAAGACCAAGCTACCTGCTCATACTTTAGGAGGCTGAATATGCTTTGTATGGAAGACTGAATCAGCCAAGACAGTATCATGTCACATAAATACCACACTTTATATTCACGAGTGCTTTCAACCTAAAGGGCTGTGAAGTCCCTGAGCCCAGAGATTCCTGTATCTTGTGCTTCTCTGCATGTCCCTCTTTTTTTTTTTTTTAAAAATTGTATTTATTTACTCATGAGAGACACACACACACACACACAGAGAGAGAGAGAGAGAGAGAGAGAGAGAGAGAGAGAGAGAGGCAGAGACACAGGGAGAGGGAGAAGCAGGCTCCATGCAGGGAGCCCGACGTGGGACTCGATCCCGGGTCTCCAGGATCATACCCCGGGCTGCAGGCAGCGCTAAACCGCTGTGCCACCAGGGCTGCCCTCTGCATGTCCCTCTAAAGCCAGCACAGTGCCTGTATGAAGAGGCACTTAATAAATATTTGAGGCATAAAATGGTCCTAAGACCTTCAGATGAGCTGAGAAAAAAAAAAAGCCCAAAGTATAAAAAAGTGCATACAGTATACCATCTGATATGTAAGAAGGGGGACAATTCTCTATGTGTATGTACATACACATTTACTTTTAAATAATAATACAGGAAACCAAGGAATGTAGAGGGCAGGGAAAATAGAGTAGATGGGACAAGAGTGGGAATGAAACCTCTCAGCATACACCTCTTCCTATTATTTTGATTTTGAACCATGCAATGGAATCTAGTTTTTAAGTAAGGGTAATACTTCTAGATGCACACATGAATATCTTTCTCTTGTTTCAGCAATTGTAGTCAATTTTCTGAATGAGAAACATATGCACAGAAGGGTCTCTTGAAAACAGAACAGGCAACATAACCCATTGTCTGTACTGGAGGCAACAGCACTCAGCGGTGAGGAGGCAGGCTCTGGAGCCACCCTGCCTGGGCTCACATCCTGGTTTGGCCATTTACTAGCTGCGTGAACTCCTGAAAGTTATCCAGTCTCGCTACACTTCAGTTTATATATATATATATGTGTATATATATGTGAGAGGGAAACCAGTGCTACCTGATAGGGCTGCTGGGACATTTAAAGAGATTAAAAAAAGCGTCAGGCATAGTGTCTAGCACATAGCCAACATCTGCTTGATATATATGCTATATATATATGTGTGTGTGTGTGTGTGTGTGTGTGTATAGTGATTGCTATATTATGCCATATGATTGTTTTTACTAATAAATAAACAAAAACTGTGAGCAAGAACAGAGGAAGATGTTAACTCCAGGGCTAGAAGTGTTGTAGACATAGAATACCTGTGGCCCAGATGTATACTGTTCTCTGGGGTAAGATCTGGTTGCAGCTTAGAGAGGGTACCAAAGCAAAGATGGTAATTAGAACAATGAGGATAAAAAGATATGCAGAAAAGGACAATGAGGATAAAAAGAGATTTGCAGAAAAGGAAATCAACTTTACTTATAATGAAAGAAATTCAAATTAAGATAAGGTACCACTTCCATATATCAAATTGGCAAAGGCTTAAAGGTTGATTATAACCAGTGTACACAAGGATGTAAGGAAATGGGTGTCCATATATACTCTTAACAGGACTGAAATTTGATAATATACTGTGTTATTACAGAACTGTAATTTTCCTGGGGGTAGGGAGACCCTCTTCAAATTTTAAACTCTATATTTTAAATTCACAATTTCACCTCTAGGAATTTATCCTACATAACAGTACAAAGATATATATATATATATATATATATATATATATAAGACTAATCAGTATAGCATTGGTCACAAAAGTAAACTAAAAACTCAAATGTCCATCAATAGGGGATTATGTAATGAATTATGCTGCAACAACATAATAATTCACTCATTCATTCAACAGATATTTATTGAACACCTACTGTGGGGTCAGGCATTATTGTAAAGGCTGGGGATTGTAAAGGGAGTGAGATTTTAGATAGGGCAACTAAGAAAAGCATTGCTGAGAAGATGGCATTTAATTAAGGACCAAAAGAGAGGAAGCCATGAAGAGGTCTGGAACAACACAATTCCAGGCAAAAGAAATAGCCCTGAGGAGAATGAGATGGATCAGTATGTCCTGATATGGAAAGATATGACTGTTAAGAAAGCAAGTTGTAGAATAAAATATATTGTATGATTTCATTCACACTTTAAGAAAAAAGGGATAAACACGTGAGCCTATGTGCTTCCATGGACATAAACATTTTCCTATACACACAAGAAATAACAGTGGTTATCTCTGGTGGATATGACTCTCCTTTCCACTGTAGTATTTCTCTTGCCAGATTGTTTGAAAAAAAAAATTTGTTTAAAAAAATTTGTTTTAATTTAATCATGAATATTACTTTTCTATTCAAATAACAAATTCAGAGTCAAGCAGAAAACCTATAACATGGGATTATAGATTATAGTGAGCATGACCAGAGATCCCAGTCTATAAGCCTCAAACCCAGGGGAAAACATTTTCAATACAGGTAACAGATCATTTTCAGGAAGCAGGTCTGTGTTACAGGAGGCTCACACAGCAGACAAGAATTGCCGAAGTCCTCTGTAACTCCCTTCTATGTAGCCTAGTCAATGACCATAAAAAGCTGTGAAAGAATTCACCGCCTGAATAACTGTCTGTGCTCATCATGAAAATATGTACTGATTTAATATGCTGAAGATCCTGCTATACTGGGGTCTGCAAAAGGCAAAGTATTCCTGCAGGAGGGAAAACCTCTGAGAGGCAAATGTGCTTCAGATCATTAAGATGCCTGAACTGCCCCTGGGAAAAGAACAAACATGCCTTTTAAAATCCGGAATTAAAGTATCCACAAAAGGTCTAGAGCAATGACCTGCAATAGTGGAGGAGGCAGAGGAGCAGTAAGGTAGATGCTGGCTCCCCTCCCTCCTCTCTCCTCAGTTGTAATAATTGCCAAAGTGAGCCATTGTTACTAACAAGAATATACCAAGTAAAATGCGGTGCAAAAACAGACTGAGAATATTAAGCCAGAGGTTTTTTGCAAGTCCTACAGCTTGTCAGTTCACAAAATCAGAATTAGGGCCTTAAAGATACCTGTGAGAAAAGTGAAAATAGCTACATTTATTGCTTCCGGTCAAGCCAATCCAAAAGTTCCAAATTAAACTCCATATCTAACTAAGTAAGTAAATGAGCTGCTGCAGCCCACCCCCTTCTCCCTGAGCTCTCTTCCAGGCCCACTTGAAGGTACTAAATGGTCCCATAAGTGGACACCATATACAGGGACAGATCCCCATATTGATCTTGCTGTTAACATGGATATTCGTGTCAAAGTAACCTCAAGTCATAGAACGAAATTGATTTAAGTATCTGTGTATTCTTAATCCTACCCCCTCTTGGCTATTCAAGAGTTTATTGCTACAGTTAAGCCCTTTTTGTGTTGTCCCATCAGCTTCTCCTTCTCCACAGGTTCCTTTCCATCAGCAAAAATCTACTCCAGAATCTCCCATCTCAAAATACATACCACATATTCATGCACTCCTTGTCCCCCTTCAATTACTTCTTCATTTTTCCACTTACTCTCTGTCCAAACTCCTCCAAAGAGTTATCTATGCCAGGGCTTGGCAAACTAGTATATCCAGTCTGGCTTGCC